CGGGGCCACGCTTTTTTTTCTGCCGGTGTTTCCTTGGCTCCCAGGGCAACCGGCCCGCGACGCGCGGTTGCCTGAGCGGTTCCCTCGTTTGCAAGTCCTCTGCGTGCTTCAGTCGCGTCCATGACAGCTGGCGCCATGGCCAAGTGCCGTGTTTGTCCTTGACGTTTTTGCATCCCTGCATGATGGTGCCATTCCCCCCCCCGCCCCCGCTTCCTGCCCCATCTGACAGAAGAGTCTAAATACAATTTGAAGAAATCAAAAGTCTTTTTTGTTGGACATTTCAAAGACAGTGTTTACGGTGTTAAGACACTTGGTAACTTGCATGCTTTTTTTGGTGTGGTTTTTTTTTTCACATTAGTTCTTTGAATACCATATGCAATTTTGAGAGTTGTTCGTTAAACCACTTGCAGTTCTAGGTTATCATCTTTTAAAACTTTGTTATACCTTATTTTATTCTGCGTAGCTGATGTTCTCTAACTGTTGTCATGAATTCCTACAGGCAAAAACTATGTGCCGCTTCTTACAGTGTTCACCTTCCCAAGAAGTTATTAGAAAATAACTTGACTGTTATTTTTATGATCTCTTGAGCTATTCAGTTTGTAGTGACAGTAGTTGCCAGTTTTGGCATCCAGAGGTCCAGTGTAGAAAGGATTATTGATACTTTTGGGAAACAGCCTATATGATTAGATGATTTCCTGTTAGAGTGTATTCTGTGAGTATTCGTGTTGCAGATTAAAGCTTCGGTTTTATGTCAGACTCTTTGAGACTTGTCTTGAGATCTGGTTAAATTGGCAAAACCATATGGTGGATCACTTTGTAAGGTAATGCAGGAAGAATAGCTGCCTCAGTTTCCAAATACTTGAGGTTAAATTGTCCCTAGCCTTTAACAGTGAGTGTTGTGTACTTATATTTAGCATGACTAATAACCCAGAACCTAATGATTAAAGAGGAAAAACCTAATAATTAAATAGGAAGAAAATATTTTAACAAGGACAGAACACGTGAAGATCTTAATCTTCTTGAAGGCTGCTGATTTTAACACCATAGAGGCACAAGAATAAAAAAAAAAAAACAACCTAACCCAGACCATTGTGAATGCAAACTTTAACTGTGGGGTTTTTTTTGGTGGGTTTTTTTTTTACTGTAAGTGAAGTGTGTGGTCAAGAAGTTCCTTTCAAAAAGAGTCATTGCTTTAATTTGTAGGACCAAATAACAAAGCTGCAAACTGGAGTACCCATCAGAGTTGATTTCTGACAAGGCAAGACATAATCTCTTTGGAGCATTTGTTATTTTGGTCTGAATCTCATGTCAGCAAGAGAAATGATATAAAATTCTGTATCTTGAGAATATGTCTTCATGTAGAGGCTGTCAGGCAATGCCTCTTCACTGCTTGGATTGGTAGGCTTCAAAGTATTTGTTTTCTGGCAAGAAAAGAATTTCAGTGAAGACAGTGGTAGGCAATTATCTCCCAGGTTCTAGCAGAAAATTGACCAGTAAATTTCTGTTCTAAGGTTTTATATCTGAAATCATTACTTTTCCTGAGGCTTTTGGGGGAAGTACTGCAGAGGATTAAGCCAGTCGCAAGCAGATCTCGAGGACGTGAGGAAGGAGGACTCTTTTTGTGAGAAGTGGCCACTTTCTGTACTTTTTCTTTTAACTAACTTTCTTGCTTTTTTTTTTTCCTTTGTTTTTTTCTCTAAACCATTAAAACCCCCCAGAGTTTGGCAGTTTGCTAATAGTCTCTCTGAAGTGCTATCAGTCTGTCCAGAGTGCTAAGATGCAGGCCATTTGTTTTTGTTTGTGACTTAAGAGCTGGGCTATCATCTAGTCTGTGCTTTTAAAGTCTTGTGTTAGACAAGAACTAATACTGGTTGCTTATAAACAAACGGTTGCAAGATACAGTAAATAGTACTCATAGGCTGTCTCTAAATATAAATGTATTTTGAAGCAATGGAGTGAGGGACAAGGTTCTTTAAGTTTATTATTAATACTGAAATTTGAAGGTACTGCTTCAGGTGTTTCTTTTTACTATCTGCCAGCCAGGGGGAGTTGCCAGTATTTTTACATCTCTTACAGCAATTTCTTCTCCCCTGCTCCACCCCCTTCCTCCATTTGAGAATTTACTAATCAGTACTGTTAGGTAAAATGTATTAAATGTGTAAGCTTTCTGTACTTATTTATCCCTTTGATAGATCTAAAAAATTATTTGGATGATGGTGATTTCATGCTTTGCTGATTCTCTTCTGTTGTCTCTTTTTTTTTTTTTTTTTTTTTTTTCCTTCCTTTCTTGTAGTCTTCAGTTTCCCTGTGGAATAGTTCTGCAGGGACAAAGGCACCTTTTTGTAGTTTGCACTGAGTCCTTAGATGAGCCTCTTTCTTCTGTGAAGCAAAGCCCACAAATTAAATGTGGGTTCTCAACTTGTGTGTTACAGTGTAGAAGTCAAACAGGGACCTTTTGGTTATCATCCCAGTCGACTTGCACCTGTTTTGAAATATCTACGCAGTCTGTTACCCCCTCCCCTGTGAACAATTTTAAGTGTATTTAATGGTTCATCTAAAATAGAGGAGTATTGTCTGTAATGAGTTGCTAGTCCTGCCTTCTGATATTTACACATCCAAACATTGCTTTTGGGGCCAGGTGATGAAAAGAATAAGCAGCATTCTAAACTGAAGAATGCAGGAGGTTTTGACTGCTTGTGGAGCTTCTGCTCCTTTGAAACAGTGAATAAACTTATTCTCACTCAGTTTTAGTGCATTTAGCCAGCCCTAAATTCTTAATATGCTTTCAGATCTTTGAAGATCTTTGTTAGTTGGTCAGATTGAGGATTACTACTTGATCCCATTTAGAATGAATGAAGATGATGACTGATATTGATTGGTATCGAGCCCTAGCTCTGTGCTGTATTGTAACACTTTGGAAATAGTAGTGTCTAGAAAAGAGGAACAAAACCCTTTGAATTTCAGTGATAATTCTATTGCATTTTGTAATTTTGTGTATGTAACTTTTTTTTAAGGAGGAGAATGTACTATATTATATTTATTTCATAATCTGAAAGAAGAATAGCATTTGGAATAATGGCAACAGGAGACATACAAGGAAGTTTAAGAAAAATAGAACAAGGACTTCGCTTGTTAAATTATCCAAGAGATGTGGATTATACAGTGTAAGTGGCAGTGTGAATAAATTTATGCTAATACATGATGACAGCAAGATGTGTAAACAAGATATGTATAAATATTAGCATTGCACCTAGTGGTGAGTAAGCAGAACATATGTTTGGGAAATTGGGGTTTGATATATGTGAACTGGAAGATAAAAGGATGCAGTTTTGCTTTTCTGAGCAATCCTTAGAATAATCCTGAAGTGTATCACTATCTTGCTCTTCTTTCTTCTGTTGTTTTTCTCTTTTCTTTGATTAATCTCTCACCTTTATAATTTCTTTGTAAGTGCTAGCAAAACTTTCTTCAGGAAATTTAATCCTGTAAAGATTAGAAAAAAAAAAAATGTGGAATGTTCAGATGGAAATGCTCATGGGCTTTAGGCCTGACAATGATAAAATTATATGAGGGTCACAAAAACGTTTCTTTGAGCACTTTACAGATAACGGTAAAGGCTGCTGAATGAGATATGCCTGGAAAAAAAACCCTTAAAATGAAGGAGATACTTGGGTATAACATGCTGGCTATATTAAACCACCTTTCAAGTTAAATGTTTGAAATCATGTAATGAAAGGCTTTTGTTATCTTCTGCTGTGTAAAATACTTTTGTTTCTCAACAGGTTAGTAAAGGGTGATCCAGCTGCATTTTTACCTATCATCAGCTATTCTTTTACATCTTTTTCAACTTACATAGCAGAACTTTTGGTAAAGTGCGATGTGGAACTCACAGCAAAGAGTGACTTGCGTTTTATTGAAGCTATTTATAAGGTATCTGTCTTCATGTTCTTTGCAGAAGAGACACAGTTTTGAGTATGGCCTCATAAAAAATAAACATCTAGTATGACTTTTACTAGGAAGTGAAAATTTTTGCCGAAGAATGTGAGTTGTAATTCTGTTAGGATTTAAGATGAGTAGTAAGTCACTGTGTGGCAAGTCTTTATGTAGATCTTAATGAAAATAAGGCTGGATGTTAGCCAAATCTCAATTTTGAGACAACTGTAGAATCAGTAATATTACTATGCTTTATGTTAGTTGTGAAGGATACTGAAATATTTATTATACAGTAGGTTTTACGGAAGTGAGCTTAGAAGAAATCATAACTGGCAAAAAATCACAGCAAGCTTCAGTAATTGTAATGAAAACACAATTAAGAAATACACTTATTTTAAAACACCATGCAGAATCAATATACAAAATCCAGTTCTTAATAGTTTATAAATTGGAATCAAATCAAATTAACTGAATGAAAATAATTTTGAACTATCCTTAAAAATATCCATAAGCACATTTTTATAAAAGGTGGCTTGATATATTGATGAATACTAGCTTATTCAGACTAGTCTTCAATCTGAGGAGGAAAGAGACTCCTTTACAAAGAAGCTCTGTGGGAGCCTTACTTAGCCCTCTGATGCATTTGCTGACATTAGTACAATTTGTTTTTATGTATTCACTTTGGAAAGTTTTTGTTTAACTTTTTTAATATTAATGTCTACAATAATTTATTTAATGTACCTTAAGACTGTGAGTTAAACTTTACAAGAGTGACATGAATGAAATGTTTCTGGAAGAGGTATGTTTTAAGTCTAGTTAGAAGAAACAGCTGAGAATGTATAAATAACCAAATGAGAAAAGGTTTAACTGCTGTAGTGCAGAATGAAAGAAAAGATTGTACAAAAATAAGAACCTGAGCATGCCATTTGTACAACAAATTGCGTGGTGATTTTTGAAAGTGAAGTAAACTCTTATTTTGTTGCAGCTTCTTCGAGATCAATTTCAATATAAACCAATTTTAACAAAACAGCAGTTTCTTCAGTTTGGCTTTGCAGAAAGAAAAATGCAGATTGTTTGTGACATTATCAACTGTGTGGTGAAAAAACATAAGGAATTAAGTAACTCGAACAAGGTACTGATTAAATGGTAACTTTATTGTAAGTCTCTTTTGACGTGCTTGGTGCTGCAGGTAGAAGACAACCAGTTGATCTCAAGATGCAGCATCACTGATAGTCAAAATAGGGGGAAAATTAGTATGAAGTTCCATTGTAAGATGCTTGAGTGCTGTCAGGTATACAAAAGACACAAAGCTGCCGATGCTTCCTAGCATAAACAAAAAAATATTAGAATGAAGATAAATCTAGTTGGTATCTTTACAGTAAGTGATGTATTTTCATTTATACTTCTCAACATAGTGAATGTTTGTGTAACTGGTAGACTTTGCAGGTAGATTTAAAAACAAAGGAAAACTGTCTGATATGTTGAAGTTCTGGTAACATTCAATTTAAACATGATACTTGTTATTTGTGTTTCAGTGGTATATATCTCAAACCTGATTATTTTCATTAATCATATTTGTTTTACATTGGTAAGGCATTATTTTTTTATCAGTGTGTGCTGTGTATCAGTGTATGCTTTAATAAAAGGCATTTTCAGTCAATTTTACAGGATTTTGTTTCGTTTGAGTTATAACAGTCTTCAGGACTTCTGTATACTTCATTTGTCACTGCTGGGGGCATAACTACATTTTTTTTCATGTTTGTCTGTCTTTCAACTCTGGTGCAAATTGTCTTTTCTCTTTATGACCAGCTGTCTTGCAGCCTTGCATAGGCATTAATGGGTGTATGAATACGTCATTCACTTCCAGATCTGTTTTCTCTGTCAATTTGGGTCATTCTTAATTTTCTTTTTTTTTTTAGACATTAGTGTACTGCAGGGGTTTACATGTGTTTGTGCGTGTGCCATGCAATATTCCTGCCTGCTAATGATGGCAGAAAATGGGGTGTGTCATCCTGTCCCCATGTTGTGTGTCCGTGTGCTGTGTCGTTCCGCTCCACCCCCCACCCCCCGAAAATATTCCTGTGGTAGAAGCATAATATTTTCTGCTCTTCACTTTGAAGGTTAAATCCCAAACAAGGAAAAAACTCAGATCTTTTAAATATGAAGTATGGTCAAATTGTGATAATGTCCTTGCTGGTCCTAGTGGGAGTGCTCTGAATTCCAAACAGGTATGAAAATAGTTTTTATGTTGTATGCCTAAAGGTTAATCTTATTTGTTACAAGTCAGGCTCTTTCTGGAATATGTGCTTTCATTTATGTTTTAATGTTTGATCAGACCAGTTGGGGTTTTTTGTGTTTCTTGTTCCCTCCCTCCCCTGAAGTGCGGTCAACTGAAATAATGGCTGAAATACAGAGGATATTGCTTCTCTCTTTTACTGAGCAGTTGATCTCAAAGTCTTGGTGGTAATGATCTAGTACTGTTGTTTGCCATTTGAATTATATCAACTGGAGGGACAGCAATGAAAATGAAGATGCAATTGGAAAAAGAACATACATCCTGTTTGGAGACTGAAGTGTGTTTGGCCTAACATTGCAATGTTTTCAATGTAGCTTTCAAAGCACTTTTTGCTCTTTTGTCTGAATCTGTTCAGCAAAGATTTCTTAATGTAACATTCCTGTTGGCTTTTGTTTTACAAGTGTAATGTTCAATCTTATGCGGCATGCTACTCTTGGCCTGTGCAAGAGGCAGCTTTCCTAGTATTTTCTGCTAAAAGGGTGCAAAGTAAAATTGGACAAAACTTTTAGGACTGTGACTGCCCAATAAATGTTGGTGATTTCTATTTAGAAGGAAAATACTGTTTTAGCAGAGGAAAATTTCACAAAGAAAATATTTGGAATGACTTACCTGGCACTTCTGGTTGTTGAATGGTAGAGCTGAATGGGTATATATGTGAGTGTATTAAGAATTTAATTGTGGGTTCTTAATCATCAGGTAATTTATTTTGTTATGTGGCAGGTAGTGATCATAGGACTTGATGCACCTGGAAAGAAAGGCAAAATTTGTCTCTTTTGTCCTCTCTAAGGGACGCATTCAAAGGAAATTAAATGTGTAGCTAGTAGGGCTATTTTGCTGACAGTTGTCAAGGAAAAGAGAAAGCTCTAATCTTCCTAGTTAAACTTTTTTTTTTCCTGAATGTTTGAGTGGTGGTTTTGATGTTGGAACTGTCTATATATATGTTAATACATACAGCGAGATTCATACCTCCGAATCCACGCTTAGAAATCTAACAACCTTACAGTAAGAGAGGACATTAATGCCTTCGCTACTGTTTATGGAAGGGAACCAAGGTACACAGTACATATGGTAAACTCTGTGCCTATTTGTTTTATAGTTCTTTCATGTCTGTATATTTTAAATTAAACTGTCTGCTGTTGCTTTCTGTGTTTTGCAACCAGTTGGGATAAAATTGTCAGATTTAAATAAATAAATAAAATTATAGGTCTTTTGTGTCGGTTACTTGGCTGATGAATTGAAATGTTCTTGTAACAAATAACACCAGTGAATTTTTTTTTTTAACATGGTCAAAAGAAGCCTCAAGTAGAACGGCATTCAGGAAATGAAGTTAGTGATGACCTTCGTCCACTACCCCTCCCAGCACAGGGAGGTACTGAAGAAGAATTGTACCTTGATCATGATGTTGTGGAAGTTAAATGTGAACAAGTAAGAACTTTTATTTTAAGATGCTGTCCACATGTATTCTTAACTTTTCTTACAGGGCATTTCTAAAGGGATAAAGGTTTTTAAAAGATAGCTGGATGCTCATTAAGTATAACTAATAGATGTATAATAAATATATTGGGAAAAAAAAGTCAGTTAAATTGCACTGTCCTTTCAAAAGCCAGTTCTGTCAACAGTTTCTTTAAAAGCTGAGTTCCATGAATAGGCATATTATGGCAATTGTGAAAGAAAAATAATTTTCTAATGTGGCAGAATGTGGCTACTGAACTTGAGGAAGATTCTACTTAATTTCATTGAGCAAATGATGAATTATATCTGTTTTTAAATTAGAGGACATATGTTCTTATCCATATTTTCAGGTCATAGAAGATAACTGTCAGATTGAGTTCCTAAAGAGTCAGCTTGCTGATTGCCAGGAAAAGCTTCATAAGCTAGATTGGATGGAAGATAAACTGCATGTTTTAGAAGAGAAACTGAAAGGAAAGGTGATCATAGATGAGAAGGACTGGAATAACTTGTTGAGTCGAGTTTTGCTTCTTGAAACAGAACTGTTGTTGCAATCCAAAAAGGTGTGTTAACTTCTCTTCTATAACAAAAATTGCCCAGACACAATGTTGTCAGCCTGTTTCTGTTCTTCCTGCCTCCTGATATATGCTTTTCGTTATTTTTGAAGGCATGATCTGAATGGAAGTGCTGTTTATGGAGTTGGTGGTATTGTTTTCTTAACTGTTACATTCTGTTGTTTTCTCATGCTCTAGGAAGCAAAGGTCTCCATTGGAAATTGTTTCCTTGCAGGAACAGCAGGAGTAGCTAAGCCTATTTTCATTAGCAATGACTGTGTGTGTTTGTGTTTGTTCACTTCCTTCTAGTGAACTTGTAGAAGGAAGCTTTTGAAAACTCTTAATTACGCTGTCTTTGAAAACTTAATGTTTCTGTAGTTGAGAATTTCATCATGCTAGTGACACATTTAAGGGTTTTCTTATTCTGGTCTGCTTATTCTGAATTTCTTATACTGGCCTGGAAATGTTGCTGCTGTTGATACAGCTGAATACCTATTTTTTTAATTCTCCAAACTGATCAGATACAGATATTCCTGTTGGAAGATCAAGTCTTCATTCTATGTAACTAATGTTGAGAAAAATAGATGGCACGCTCAATGGAAAATACAAGGTTAATGGAAAAGTTAATTCTTATTTTAGTCCTATTTTCAGTTTGTGAATCTTTGAAATTTATAGCCTAATCAATGGTCTTTCTCCTTTTTGCATGCCCCCTCTAGCCCCTTCCAGCCCCTTCCTATTTCTTGTCCGTGATGTTCATTGCATTTTTAAATGCTACAGTTGTGATGTAGCTACATTTGTCAGAGCAAAGCAAATATTTTGTTGCATAAAGACTCTGTATTATTTTTCATGCCGTTGAAAGGTCCTTGTGTGCACATTTATATAATTTCATGTATGTGCACATGTAAGTATTTTGAGATGCAGTGAACCATAACATCAATTTTGGTATCACATGCTTAATTTCAAAGTGTGTTTGCATGTGTGTCTTGTGTATCCTTCAGATACTGTCACATGCTTTCCAGAAGTTGAAAACCCTTGTGGAAAACAGTTGATCAGTGTTGTGTGTTTCTCTGTAGTTATAAAAATGTTGAATTTACTTGTAAGCAGGAGCTCTCAGAGTGTTGCTGGCCCTGCAGATTTGAAAATGTCACTAATACTTGTGTTAGTAATGTGTATACCATGTCCAGTTTTGGGCCCCTCAATACAAGAAGGACGTTGAGGTGCTGGAGCGTGTCCAGAGAAGGGCAACAAAGCTGGTGAAAGGTCTGGAGCACAAGTCCTATAAGGAGCAGCTGAGGGAACTGGGGTTGTTTAGCCTGGAAAAGAGGAGGCTGAGGGAGACCTTATCGCTCTCTACAACTACCTGAAAGGAGGTTGTAGAGAGGTGGGTGTTGGTCTCTTCTCCCAAGTAGCTAGCGATAGGACAAGAGGAAATGGGCTCAAGCTGCACCAGGGGAGGTTTGGATTGGATATTAGGAGAAATTTCTTCACTGAAAGGGTTGTCAAGCATTGGAGCAGGCTGGCCAGGGAAGGGGGTGAGTCCCCCTCACTCGCTCCCTGGAAGTGTTCAAAAAACGGGTAGATGTGGCACTGTGGGACATGGTTTAGTGGGCATAGTGGTGTTGGGTTGATGGTTGGACTGATGATCTTAGAGGTCCTTTCCAACCTTAATGATTCCTAGTTTTTACTTTCATTAAAAAATAACCCAGCCACCAAGCCAGGACACACAAAATTGCTACTCTACCCTTAACTGGTTTAGTGGTGGACTTGGCAGTGTTAGGTTAATGGTTGGACTGGATGATCTTAAAGGTCTTTTCCAACCTAAATGATTCTATGATTCTGTACAAGATGTGGGGTTTTTTTCCTGTGTGCCATGAAAGTGTGCTAGTTTTGCAAAGTCTTGAAATGGAGAAGTGTTCAGGCTGATCACTGCGTTATTTCTGAAGACTGTAGCTCAAATGATAAGGGTTGACATTCTCAATCACCTTTTTTTTTTTAAACAGTTTCAGGTCAGTAATGGCTCAAGTGATTTACCATTTGAAATAAATTTCTTATGGATATTGTAATTTAATTAGCAGTGCACATATGTACAAATAACGCCACCAATGATAATGGTTTCTTCTGCTAGCAGTCTCAAGAGGCCTTCAGCTGAACAGCCGTAGATAGTTTTGCTCCTCTTTAAAGTTATTCTCTTCAAGAAGTAGTTGCTGCATTTATGACAGTAGCAGCACAGGAAGGCTTGTGTTTTAGACTAGGCTTGTTCTTTTATTTCTGTAAATTTGGTTTATTATTACTTCAGTAACATGTTTATTGCAGGTGTTTAAAGGTTTGGAATAGTATTTGGAGAATACTTAACATTAGTATCACTCAAAAATTTTCAGTAAGATAATTCTATTTCTGTACTGCCTGTTACTGAAAGAAGTCATCTGCAGAAACAAGTCTGAATTTAGTTTGTGTGTGGCATTGTTGCTTGTCTTTTTTCAAAGCAAAAGAAGCTGGTTTTTATATTTAAAAAAAGTCTTCAAAACCCTAACTTTTTTGCAATAGGCATTTGAACACTGCCAAGAAATAATCCTTTGGGCCAGAGAATTGCTCCTTCTTTGTTTCATGAAATTCCATCCAAGTTGTGCTTCACAGATATAGAAGCAATTCAGAATTTCTCCTTTCTTCTTACTCGTGAATTTTTCAGGGAACTTTTGGCATCTAATCAACATAGCAGGAACACTAAGATCTGTCTTGTGCTGCTGCCAAAGTAGCAGCAGCTGTGCGTTTAGCTCTGGGGAAAGTCTGAAAGCTACCAAATCCATTTCAATGAAGGGAATTGAGCAGAAGATATCAGTGCAGATTTTTTTTAAAAGAGGTATCCATTATTACAGCTTTTTTCAGCTTCTTCCCACATAGTACCTACTATTTCTCCCTCATTCGTTTATTTGGGTATAATATTCCCCTGTTAACCGATACAGTCAGTTCAGTATATAAAGTGATATACTTTATCAAAGGCTGAGATTTCAAATCATAATGATAACTCATTGGTGGAAAAAAGTCTAGATGTTGTTTATGAGTGTTGGATTTTTTTATTTTGAAATTAGAAGATTTCATTCAAAAATATTTATTGTTAGTACAACATTAATTTTGTTTCCTTGTTTATGAACCTTTTCTAAGCTAGATTGAGTTAAACTGAGAACCTTTCTTAAAAGAGCCATCTCATTTAGGAGCCTGGGAAACTAGCTTAAAATAGACTCCTGAGTTCTAAGCATTTAAGTGGAATGAATTTCAGTTCATCTATAGGCTAATTCTTAGGACCAAGGAGCTGCATTTCTGAATATCAACCAGAAGTAGAAGGTGCACTTACTTTGTTAAGGTAACAGCAGCCAACGTCAAGATGTAACTGTTAGCACAGGCCAAGAACAGTCTGATCATTCGTTCTACTCATACCTAAGTTATAGGTGCTATAGTTGGACATGGTTTTGACCTGTTTATGAACAGCAGTATTGATATTAAAAAAGCCCCCATGAAATAGACTAGTTTTTTAATGCAATGTATGTATGGAAACTTTGGATTTTTTTAGTCCTGTAAAGACATTTATTGAATGCCAACATACCTGGATGGTGTAGCAAATGCATACATAATTAGTACTTAAATATACTTTTGTTCAGTCAAAATATGATTTAAACAGGGTATATGGCTAAAATGCAGTAAACTTATATTTCAGAGAGACGTATCTACAGAGTTCAGCAGTGTAAGTCAAGAATGTACTTCCAGTAGGATTCCAGTTTCTCCTGGTGAGTGTTAATGATTTTTTTTTTTGATTAACATCATATGCCAAACACTTCTTTCTGACCTTGACTAAAATAGTGTTTTTTAAGTAGACAATTGCAATTTAGTGACCTCTGAATTTAAATGCATGCTGCAAATTAGAAATTAACCTGCTGGTCACTTTGTAATTTATTCTTTAGAAGCTTTATTTACTGAAATAGTTTTTAAAGCATTAGTGAAAATATATAGCATACTAATTAATAGTTAAAAATAACTACAAAAATCTTAAAGATGCAAATTTAGTTAAGGTGCTATAGCTAAAGCTGTGAAAAACAAGTTAGCTGCACTTTAAAGCAGTTATAATGTTTTAAAAATAAGCTATTTGTAAGCGCAAAAGAAATTGTATTTGCTGCCACGGGTTTGTTTAAAACAGTGTCACACATGTTGTTTTTTACTTTTATAATGGGGCTTGGGACAAATCGGGGCTTTTTCATTCATAATCCACATTGTATTTCAAACCACTGCTGAACATTCTCTATAGTTTCATCCCTTTTGAAGCAGTTAGCAGTTATCCAAGTAGCGTTTTTGCTAAACTTGCTTATTTTGAAGAGCAAGATAAAATCTTTTTCTTCCATTTCCAACTTAATTTTGATAATGTACAAGAAGTAAATGAAGGAGCCTTAAGTGGGAAATAAATTAAAAATATTTCCCAGGCCATAAATAATTATCTTTTCCTCACTGGTAGCTCCTTAGCCCTTACCTTGCATCATTCTCTTTACTAGTTTGGCCTGTTTCCCCTGTGGCAGCTGTTATTCCTACCACCAGGAGTAAGAAGGATATTCTGTCTCCTATTCTCACTTATAAGGCATTTTTGTTCAGTGTTGGGCTGTTGCATTGAAATTAAAAGGGAATCTCAGTAATCCAGTTTCCATGGAAATTAGGAAGGCAGTTTCTTGGTTATGTCAAAGTTTGTTTTAAATTTGAAGTCTCAAAAATGGGACCTTCTTTTTACAGACCTTAGAAAGCTTCCAACATGTTTACTTCCTTTCATAAGTTTAGTGGTTTGTTACTGACACTTGAGGACTTCCATCAGCCTCCTTGCTGACTATGTCTTTAAAAGAATTTTCATATTTTCAGACTTCTGGAATTCTTGTGAATTTTGTTATTCCTGTTTTTCTAAAATAAGATTCAGGAAATTTTAGGCATACCAGTTACGCCGTCAGTCTTAACTCATGTATCTGAGACGTACAGTACTTGGAATGCTTTGATGCTCTTTTTGGTTGTAGCGCTCTTTAGGAATCACAGCTGGACAGAAGAAACACTTTTTGATTTTAATTGATTAAAGATAATTTAATATGATTTTAAATATAGAACAGTGTAAGCAAACATGTTCCACAGCTATGATCCATAGTTGGTGGCCTTACTGAAAATAAGGATATGGGAACACTC